TAGTAAAGGTACTTGGGATATTGCACAAAATCCCTTGGGTTCAATTAATTTTGAACGTGCCCCCCAGAGATTGCAGACTTTGAATTCTTTCTTTCTTTGTTTTTTTCTGTTTTTTTTTTATTTTTGCAGTTTTTTTATTTATTTATCGAATAAAACAAAAAGATATTAGTTCATCATATGACGTTACTAAAATGACTCTTAATCAACTGAATTTTATTGATTGTCAAAAAACTGCTGATACGAATAATTCAGACGGCTTAGTTACCATTACGAATATAGAATTGGAGTTGAAAAAGATAAAAATCAAGCGTTCATTCATTATAAAAAATCTACAAATATGAATAATTCTAACGAAATTTATCAAGTTAGCTATTGTTATTATTCGAGAATTAGTGTTGAAATAGATAAGCATAAAGCATTTATTAAAAGAAATCATCTGAGGCATAAAATTTTTAAAATACCATTTGTTACAGATATAGAATTGATTAAGACAATTTTACAATCAGCTTTCGAATTTTTCAAAACATTCAGAATTAATAATTGTAGGTATACATTCATATTGATTAATTCTTTTGTATTTTAATGTACAGTACATGGTGATACTCAATATGACTAAATTGTTATTAATTTCTATTAAATCAAGTATCAAGTATCATAATGTATTTGTGAATTATAAGAAAGTCTAATTAACTAAATTAAAATTTTGAATTATTTTTAGTTAGTAATCTTCTTGATTTTGAGATCCTCTAATATTTTAAATTTTTATATTCAGAAAATGTGGGATGTCTAGTGATGTGTCGCATATAGTACATACTCGTAAAAATTCTTACTGATCACTAGAAACAACTATATACACTATATGTACGTACAGTATGTACTGTACACGAAAAAAAAATTAGGTATCATATAAATAGTACATCACTAGGGATATCACAGTGTGATTAGAGAAGTTAATTATTTTTTTTTAACGCAATTGGTTAAAATAATGAAACTTTGAATTCATTTAATAAAATCATTTAATTAACATCAAAAGCGATGAAAATATTTAATCAGATATTAAATTCCGAATCACATTAAAAATTTATTTAAAATTAAAATTATTTTTTTAACAATATAATTTTTAAAATTTGAAAAATAGTATGTAATTTGTTTTTTTATTAATTTATTATTTTTTATTTTATTTTATTAATTTTATTTTTAGTGACTTTTCAAGGTTCATTTTCTTTTGAAAAAGATGGTGGAGGTTATTTTTTCGACGAAAATAATGAAAAAATTGGAGTTGGAATTCAAAGAGTTGTTGATAACAATATAGTTTATTACGCTGTTTATTTCGTTAAAAATAATGTTGTTTTAGATATTGATTCTAAAATGGCTTATAAAAGTGGTAAAAGATTTTGTGAAAAATCTATTCATATAAGTAATATATGTTGTTATTTTAAAATTGAAAATGAAGATAAATTTAGCATATTTTATAATAACGTTGAAAGATTACATTTTGTAAAATATAAAAATAATGATAATTATACTGTTTATGAAAATAATTTTGAGTATATTATTTAAACGATTTTTTTAATTCTTTTAAATTATCAGGAAATTTAAATTTATATAGATTTAATTCTTGAGAAAATTTAAAAATAAATCCAATATCTTCAAATTGTTTTTTAAGTTTTTTTAAATCTTGGTTTTCTTTTGAATTAGAATTTTGATCAAATGAAGGAAAAATAGAATAATCAGTTATTCTAGTTTCTCTCTGTTTAATTTAATTTTTTTCTGTCATTTTTTTTTATAATTTAAAATTTATGTTAAGTATGTCTATTTATATATTTTTAAATAAATTTTAATATATTATTTAGTTATTCTTGTTTAAAATGTTTTAAGAAATTATCAGGTGGTTCAATTAAAAAATCAACAAGTAAAATTGTTCAAGTGTTCGAGCAAAATTGCTCAATTGAAAAAACAACCAAGAAAAATTACTTGAACATTACCTGAGCAAAATTGCCCAATCGAAAAAACAACCAAGCAAAATTACTTGAGCATTACTTGAGCATTATCTGAGCAAAATTGTCCAATTGAAAAAACAACTAAGCAAAATTGTTCAATTTATATTTAAACTAGAATATATATAATTTAATATAAATAATCATACTTTACTTTTTTTTATTATAAAAAAAATTAAAAATGTTCTCTAATGAAGTTTTTTCTCTTATTCTTAAAAATTATAATTTTGAAAATTTTCAAGAAATAAAAAAAAT